TATAAAGAAAAATGCAACATACAACTGGATCATGTATTGTAAGTAAACCACAAATGAAACAAATACATTTCATGCTAATAATTTAGGAAAATAGCCCAAACCCTGATATAATAAAATAAATAAATAAATAAATAAATAAATAAATAATAATAATAATGAAAAATGAATTAAAATAAATCATAAAAATACACAAATCCATAAATGATGGCAAATGCATAAATAAAAATTTATATTTTGTTATATATTATATAATAATATATTTTATTATTTTTAATATATATTTTATAATAAACTTCATATATATTATAAAGGTTATTATAAAATATAATAAAAATGTTTTATTATGTATAATAAAATATACATTTTCATTATTTACATTAACTGGATCTTTTTTAGCGCAACTAATCACAAATTTAACTTAAGATAAAATTTCACGTTTATAAAAATAATAAAATAACATTTTAATATTAGTATAAAATTTTTTATGTTTATCAAATTCTTACAAGCCCTTTCAGAAAGAAGAAACTTTACTATACACAGTAAAATAATATTATTATACCATATAATAATAATAATAATGTACTCCATAACTAAACATACAGTCAGTACAGGTGAAGTAAAAATAAACAGAATTGTACTGAGATCAAAAAGTTGTCTTACCTTTGAAAGCCAAATAGAGGACAGAGAGGACCAGTAGCATCCTGTGTCGCTGCTTCAGTACAGTCAGGAAATACTTTCTGTTTGGGTTGTGCTGCCTTTTAAAGGAGTCAGGCAGGGCGTGGGACTGACTGACTCATGAAGGTTAGTTGTGGGGGAGAATGGAGGGTGCTTCCCTCTGCCTCAATTAATTTGTGAATATATTTTATTTGCAGTATTTATTTATTTCATAAATAAATACTGCAAATATTTTATTGCAGTAAATATTTGCTGCAAATATTTACTGCAATAAAATATTGCAGTAAATATAAATAAATACTGCAAATAATTTCTGAGGAAAGTTAAAACGTTAAGAATCAAATCTGAAGAACTGAAACAGGACTTGAAGCTTTAACATTTTTTAATCAGACAAACTTAATTTTAGGTCTATGAGGTTTAGATACGCTCTGTGAGGTTTATTTTTATATTTCTGCTAATAAGATTGAAACTAGTCAAAACTATGTGCGTTTTGCAGCTTCTTTTTTTTTTTACTCAGCATCCAGTAAACGGTGTCAGCACTTCTGCTAGCAATATTTACTTGACCTTGCTGCCAGTAGTCAAGAGGGGAAAGAATATTAATACCAATAGTAGAAGTTCCCTAAAGTTGTTGGCTTACTCAAGGTTTATTTTCTGTTGTGCGCACATGATCACAATCATATTTTCATTTTGGTTAGGTGTGAACAAGTCTGTGATATTTGACACATGTAGCAATGTTTCTTTGCCCCTTGCAGTCACTGGCACCTCAGCAGAAGTGCTAATCATCCTGGAAATAAACCTGTGATACTCCAACATGTCACCGCGTTGCTCTGATAGAATGTTTTCTCGCCTTTTCCATTTTGAAGAACGGCTAAGACCGGACGGAAACACAAAGTCACGGCTTACAAATCCCAACCAAAATAAGTATAAAGTTACACTGTTGCATTTTTAGACTTTGCATTGTTTTCTCACTTAATTCCCGTCTGATGTGTTCTTGTTTTGCGTCCGCAGTTTGTGGCTTTCTCACTTCAAGCACATTGCCAAAGAAAAACAACGTGACAGAAGTTTGCTGAGCTCATGTTCGGTAAGTTTCATCACCGCTCAGATGCCGTGACATGTTTAGTGTCCGCTTCTCACCGTTTCCCCTCACGCCTTCTACAGGAACATGAAACCATGTCCTCCAGGGAATTTATGAACATTACTGTAACTTTGGCAGCGCATGTCAGAGGAAATCTAAGCTATAATTTCCTCTGTTCAATCCAAGGAAAGGAGAACAGGAAGAGGTCTTTACAAGCACAATAAGCCTGGACTGGTACGGTTGGTTGAATCATAACCGTTACAATAAACCCATGTTATGAAACAATCATATGATTACCAAGTAAAGTCAACTTGTCACATCATGCTAGATCATTTCTTACGTATTTTATAGCCTGCAGGGATGGTACAAAGGATTCTAGTGTACAAAGGTATCAGGCAGGAGAAGAGTGCAATGAATATTTCAAAGTAATTGGAGAAAACATGGTACAGCAAACAGGTGAGATACACGTTGCCAGGAAGGGTTTTCCTAAGAAGTAAAGTTGAAAACAGCCTGACTAATCATTTCAAACTTTGAGGAAGGAGACACTACGGTCTGACGTAGGTCAGACCGTAAAATTTTAGTTTCAGGGAGACTAGGATCTGAGAGGTGTAACAATAAGTTACGCACAGGGGTGGACATTTCTGTATTTCCAATAATAGTGACAACAAAATCTAAAAAAAAAAAAAACCCTAAATGTTTAATTGTAGCAAATTTTCTCAAGTTCAAGAATAGAAATGTAATCATTTCATCTGTAAAGAGACGACATCTCACATGCTTTTCTCCTGACAGTCCAGGCTGAATCACAGACTGAATCAGAATGAAAACTGAAACTTAGCAAAAGGATCAATATAACCTCCTCTTTAAGCTATTAACTCAGCCCCAAAACCTTCATGTGTGTAAAGCTGCAGATTCATTCAAATAAATGTGTTTCTCAGTTAGAACCTGTTGAAAGGTTCCAGATGTTTTTGTATCCCACAAACCCTGGCATTGTTCATTAGGGGTGTGTATATCATTATCTTCAATGCATCTGTTGCTCAATGCTGAATACTGTTTCCATAACAACGTCTATGGGGAAGTTTCCTGTCACAGCGCAGGAAAGAACCTGGCAGCTCTGAGCTGTGTCACTGCGAGTTTTTAAGATACACAAAACATTTATCATTAAAATATTTGTTTTGCTTCAGTGTGTTTTCTTTCATGTTTTAGTTTCAGTCTGAATCACCTGCGAGGTTTGCTCTTAAGCACGCATGAAATGTCTCATATCGTTATCTACTTCTGTTATAAGTGTTTTACAGACGGGTACAGTAAATGTAGCCATAGCTACTGTATCTAAAAGGATGGATGAGAGTAATTATGCCATATAACTTGGACTGAAATGTGGCAGGGAGGAACCTTTAATACTGATGTTATATCTGGTTCTAAACCAGAATCAGGTTGTAAATGTTAACTGCTTTGAGTTTTATGAATCTAAATTAAACCTCCTGTCAGACTGAAACACACAGTCCGTTTTTTTTTTTTTTTTTTTGGTCACAGGTGTCACTTCTCTCATTTTCAAAGTTCTCCGCCTGCCCGTAACAGATAGTCACAGTCTGCCGGTCAGTCAGAAAGCAGTTCCTTTCTCTGGGGGGTTTCTTTGCAAAAGGACGAGCTGAAATTCCTTTAAAGCTGATACACAGAAATGTGTATCAGTGTATGGGCTATAAGCCAATGTGTCACTGAAACAGCTTGTGCATAAAATCATTTCATAATTCGTTCCAGCAAACACAAATTGTTGCGATTCACAATTGTGTTTAATCTAATGGATTCAAGATGCATTTGTCTCGTCACAAAGGACAATTTTTTCTTGCACCGCTGTTATTAAGTTTGGGCAGCAGTCTGTTCAATTCGCTCGTTGTTTAAGGCATTTTTTTTTTGTTTTATATTCTGCAAAAGTGCAACTTATATGTTTCTAATTGTTGATGTTAACTTGAAATGCTCAAGATTACAAGATAATTTGCATAGGACCTCAGGAGCGGGGTGCGGTCATGAGATAACTCTGTTATCAACACAGGGTCATGAGAACTCTGTTATCAACACAGGGCCTTTATGTTTGTAGTTTTCACAGCACTCAGTAAGTTAAAGTCAAACTTGAAGAGACAGTGTTGTCACTTCAAAGTCAAACACTTTTTCATAGGATTTTAAATACGCCCTTAAAGCTGCAGTATTAAAGATTTTATTTTAAAAATCTGTCTTTTTTGTTTCATATTTCTTAAAGTTATCATTGCCAAGACAATATAAGACAGATAATCTGTCAAAAAAAAAAGCTCCTTTGCCAACTGCAAAGATGCGCCAGTCAGAAACAACCAGAGCCAGGAGGAGGGGCTCAGCGCTGTCAATCACTCTCATGCTTGTTCACCACAAATTAGCCTACTACGAAGGCTAAGGGTAGTTAGCGTCTGATGACGGTTTCCCTGGAAACTGATTGACAGCGCTAAGATCCTCCTCCTGGCTCTGATTGGTTCTTTTTGACCTCCATGCCCTCCCTATGCCCTCCCCCAGACAGCAATCACTGGGGGAGGGCATGGAGGAGTTGGATCTTTTCACAGATTATTATCATTTCAGGTAACTAGTTTTCACTCAGGAAGTTTCAAAGAAAATCACCTGCGGAGGTTCCCCTAAATATCCTTCAGAAGATCCAGGCATTCTGCTTTCAGATTCTAATCTACACCTGTATTCTGAGTTTCAGTTGAAAAAGAAAACAGATTTTAAAAACAAACAAATAAACAAACAAACAATACAATACAATACAATACAATAGCTTCTAAAGTGATCAACGCTCAAACATTTCTGTATTTTGCAGCTTTGTTTTCTCGTTGTTCTCAAATCCTGCTTTCCAGTCTCGGAGGTTTGAACTTTGAGCCGGGGAATACCTTCAGAAACTCGATAACCACAGTTCAAACACACAAAACCATGACATCGTGACTGACTGGGAAAAATAACCATCATTTGTGCAGGTAAACAACAAGTGTGCAACTCTACATTTGGGACAGCAGCATTTTATCTCAGTGTTTTGGTCTTAGAATAAAAAGAAAAGATGCTCGTTAGCAGAAATTTAAGCTCTTATCCAAACAGAGCAATGAGAGCATCCACCTTTCCTTTAATAACAACCGACTCTAGGTAGTGAAAGTAATATGTAATTATGGTTTTTTGCTAGTCACTGAACCCTTGTTAGCAAGTATTCTGCTGAACATGCAGCCTTAGCTGATAGCTGATGTTTTTTTTTTCGGACTGAAAGTCCCTGAATTGTGCTGAGACGACGTGTTCTTTTGACCCCAAATTCTGCAAGTCTGCACAAGTCCTGAGCAAAAATTACTGTAACCGACGAGGACAAATAATCTGACAGATATGTGAACTCAATCGGCTGCACGAATTGCATGTATAGATGGAGAAATAAAAAACAGAAAAAGGAAGCTACACAGCTGAAAAGTAAAGAGGAGGGGGTTTCAGGTCAGATGCTCTTGACCTCGTACTTCCTCTGCAAATAAGCAGGAATGTCGAAGTTAGAGTCCGGGGAACACCAGACTGCGAAAACATAAACAAAGAAAATCTGTTTGTTGAAGGGTTTCAGAAATGAAATGAAAGTAGAATAAAAAAAAACATAATATTTAGACTTAAGAAAGATTTTATTGTCCTGTTTCTTTTAATGTAGTCAAATAAATGCAATTAAAGCTTCCTGTTTTGGGATGTGAAGGTTCTCTAAATGCAAATGAAATTTCTATTTAATTTCAACAGGAACCTACACCATCTAAAAGTCCTGCAACATTTAGATGGTCCATTTACCTGAATCAAAAGACTGAATGACCTCTGCATGCAGAAGGTCTCAAGCTACTTCTCAAGGAATTGAGGTGCATTTTGTATGCATCTCAAGCTAAATGCATGCAAGTTCTCAAGCTATTTGATTCATATGTGTTCAAGCAGACAAATAAAAGTTGCAGGAAACCAACTTAAGACATGTTTATATGCACTAAATAAGTCTTCAGGAAAGAGGAAGTGAGAGGAAGTGTTCACCCAGCAGGGCAACACAGAACAAACAAGCACACATATCTAAGTAGGTGCAAGTCACACTTATTTACAATTAAATTAACCTAACAGTCGTGTTTCTGGACCGTGGGAGGAAGCAGGAGTTCTTAGATGGGATTTGAATCCACGACCTTCAGGCTGCAAACTGCGCGAGCCTCAGGTCACTCTGACTAGACCCGCCCCACAGAGTAAACCCCGCCCCCTCATTTCAAATCATACGGACATGAACTACAAAGACCCCGAAATAAAAACAGATTAAAAACGACATAAAGTGGCTTTACAAAACAAGTGTCACAGAATTAAACATTATATAAGCAAATGCATCTCAGTCATTTCTAATATTATTATATAACAAATATTTATTTTATTTCAGGTAGTATTTATTACCAATAAAGTATTTTTTGTTTTCAATTTTGAGTTAAGTGGCTCTTTATACAAATAATAGTTGATTAAAATTACTTAGGACAGAATTTTCTTTAATAAAAAATCTAAAATTAAAATCTTCTGAAAATTGTGCAAAAAAAGAAAAAGGAAAAAAAATTGTTTAGCTTTTCTTTACATTTGATCCTAAATAGGTTTTTTCCCCTCTAACTTATTCAACTAAATAGCATGCAGTTATTTGAGTGCAGCAAACATGCGATCTTCAGTCTGTTGGTTGATTCTGTTTGATGAAATTTATTAATGAGTACCAAATATTACTGTAAAAAATTGGATTGTGATTAGTGTCCTAATGATCAGTCTTTCCATTTTCACATGAACTTTAACTCACCATCCACTTCTTGATGTCTTAATATTTGAATTCCGCATGAAAAACTTCAGTGTTTTCTTATGTTGAACCATTTCTAGAGCCTGAAACGCAGGAATCCTGACTACTAAATGAGAAACAGGTGGCTGATTGGCTGCAATGACCAAAACCAAAGAGAATCAATTTCACACTGTAAAATGCAGAACAAAGAAACTAACATGAAAACTTCAATTATGAACACAGATGAAAAGTAAAACCAAAACATCCCAGAATTGCAACATATATTTCAGTCAGATAGAAAATGAACATAAATACATTTTGTCATGTAGGTTGTCTGATGGTTCTGTAGTCAAAAGCAGCACAAATTTAACTTTTAAGGTAAAAAGAAAAAAAAAACAAAAACAAGAAAGTTGCTTTATATTTAAAAGCATCCTTAGGATGCAGAACTTGAGTCTTCACTTTTGTTTCTTTCCAGGGGGAACTTGAGCTGAAAATTCTAAATCATCATCATCAAAAAAAAAAATTATGAGGAAGACCTCAAGCTCAAAACCACGTCAATACAGTAAGTCCAATCCACACTTTGATCAGAAACAGAAAAAAACGCGCCAACCTCACAGTCTGTGTCGGTTACTGAGGTTTTGGCTTCACTAGAAGGATCTTTACAGAGTTGCATAATCTGGAATATGCTGAAACAGAAAACGTACAACTTTGCTAACACATTTCTTTTTCTATCAACATTATCATGACCCCACCACTAGGAGGCCTCTGATTGCAAAATCCATGCAAAATGCATCTTAATTCCTCCAAACTTGATTGATCAAACTATAATCTCGTTTGTTTTATGTAAAATACGCACCAAGTTATTCATTAAACATGAATGAAAGTCACTCCCAGTTTTTACAGTGGAGCAATATTTTTTTTTTTTTCTAATCTAATGAATTGATTAAAGTCCAGTTTAAGACAGAAAAAGTACCGCAGAGACCAAGTGCTCACTGGTTTGGCTGGTCTGCCAATTAACTGTCAGAGAAAAAAAAAAAAAAAAACGTTTATTCAGAGCCAACAGAACATTTCAAGGTGCTTTCAGGAGAACTTGATTTTCCAGTTACAACTTCCCAAAGACATTCTGATTTTCCCCTGCTTAATCACTGAATATGGCTGCTTGATAAATACATTGACATGTGTTATGTAATAAACTGTCTCCGCCAGACAATCCAGACTGGCTGCAATGCTTTCGCCTCTCCTTTTGGTTGACATTTATTTGCAAAATGTACATTATCTTTTTAATATCTTAATATTAAAATATTTTGAATTTAAAATTTTGTCTATTTTGTTAATCAAACCTATTAGATAGCAATTTTAAGTGACCTCTTTATTGCTTTGAGGCCTGTATTTTGACTATAAGTGCCCTGGGGTGCCCCCTGCTGGCTTAGACGCGCGAAGCAGATTCCTAATTTGGTGCTGCTGTTGTCTTTCTTTATTCCACATTTGCAATATAAAGGGAGCACACTGCTGAATGGCAATTGTAGAAAAGGCTAGATTTATTTAAAAAATAATAATAATGAGAGTTCGGTTAAAGGAAAACAAATATGTTAAAAAAGGAAATTTGAGTTTATTTTAAATATATATATTTTTTTTTTATTCCTTTTTGGCCCAATACGTCAGACCAGGACTTGACACACTCTGAGAGGCTGATCATTCTGTGTCAGAGCATCTTCCCAAATTTCCACAGTCGAAGAGACGGCTGATTGCACCAGTCTAACCTCAATATTGGTTTTGATGCCCTATTTAGAAATTTGGTTGCGCTCTAGAACTCTTAACAAATAAAGAGACACTTCTTCAGATCTGGTTTCAATTATCTGACTCCAGCAGGGGGAAAGACATTACGCAATCAGTCTCTGGTCATTGTTAAAATCTCTTATGTTCTGGTGTGAAGTCAGCTGTAACGCTTGAGGCCATCTTGAGAGCAAATGACAAATTTTCCAGGAAGTGGTGACGAGTGGTTTCATTATGTCCAAAAGAAACAATGAGCCATAGTTAGAGCTAATGTTTTTTGGTTAGAAATGTGAACTTGAGATGTAACATAAAACCACAGACACAATAGATGTTTTGTCTGTTTTTTCCAACTGCAATTATAAATGTCTGTATGTAAAATGAGGTTGGTTTTGTAATATTTCTAAATGTTTTCCACCTCTGATCTAAAAAATATCCAGAAAATTTCAACTCAAAGCAAATCAGTTGATGCAAACATGTAGAAACTGATACCGTAACCACTTGGTTACAGCAACTTTCTGTATCACTTGAGGACATTATCAGAATTTTAGATATTTCCTTTCAACTGTTAGTGAAAATTATGAATCAGAGTGAAGTCACAAACATGACATATTATACCCACGCATCAATATATACAGAAAATAAGGAGCATTGCAAAAAAATGTGAAATCACAAAATCTGGACAAATCTCTAAAACTGATGAAAAGACAACATGGAGACACTGCAGGAGTTTCCGACTGGTTCTTGTTGTGTCCTGGATGCAACAATCTGTGTTCTCCATGGAGACAAAATAGTAAAGTTGAAACATGGAACCTCTTCCTTAAAAGGAAACATACAGGTAGAGGTTTTTAATAAAAGCAATTTAAGCAGTCACCCTGGGCAACATCAGAATGGAGTGACATGAAAAAATATACACTGCTTAAAATAAATAAATAAATAAATAAATAAATAAATAAATAAATAAATAAATGAAGGGAACACGTAAACAACACAATATAACTCCAATTAAATCAAGCGTCTGTGAAATCAAACTGTCTGCTTAGGAAGCAACACTGATTGACAGTCAATTCCACATGCTGTTGTACAAATGGAATCTGGAGGCTGGAGACACAGCAGGAGATGCGGAGGAGGCCGGAGGAGGGCAACAACCCAGCAGCAGGACCGCTACCTCCGACTTTGTGCAAGGGGGAGCAGAAGAAGCAGGAGGAGCAGGAGGAGCAGGAGGAGCAGGAGGAGCGCTGCCAGAGCCTTGCAAAATGACCTCCAGCAGGCCAATGTGCATGTGTCTGCAAAAACTAGAAACCGACTCCAGGAGGAACTTTAACTAACCTTTGAGTCAAAAGAAACAAGTTAAAATGTTATTCAGACGGAAAATAAAGCAAATGGTGGTATTTAATTAATAATAACGCTGCTAGATGTGCTTGGATCTTATTAGCCTTTGTCAAACAACATTTCCTATTTCCGGCGTTTTATTTTGAAGGAGGATCACGGTCCAGAAAAGTAATTAATATAATTATTAAGTTGAGATCACGGCAATAAAAAAAATCTAACACATTTTTTTTTAGAAATAATGTGATTAAAAAAACATACTTTTTGAAATGTTATATTGCTGTGATTAACCAATATTTTTATTTTAAATGTCGTTTGCCCCGAAGCTTTCTCCGTCTACTGCCATCCAGTGGCAGCAGCCCGCAACTACATTCTAAAATCTTTAGATGAGATTAATAATAAATTTAAAAACTCTTATTTGTAACTGAAGGACATATGCTACTGTTCAGCATCAGTGTGTAGATCTGCACCTGTCGATAATCAGAATCAAATATACACACTGATGCTTAACAGTACCATATGTCATTCAGTTACAAATAAGAGTTTATAAATTTATTAATCTAATCCGAAGATTTTAGAATGTAGTTCCGGCCTGCTACCATCGGATGGCAGTAGACGGAGAAAGCTCAGGGGCAAACGACATTTAAAATAAAAATACTGGTTTATGATATCAATATAATATTTCATAAAGTTGTTTATATTAATATAAAAAGGGAGGAAAATCGAATAAAACTAATTATTGGGGGTTTTGTTGATTTCACCACACGAAAGGAGTAAATCCTTGTAATCAAACACAGTGAACTAAACAGAAAAAACAGTAGATTATTCATTATTAATCATTTGATTGAATCATCATAAACCAGGAACCAATATTTTAACATAATTATTAAATAACTACATGATAAATTAACCAATCAGCTGGTGCATATCTGGCGTATTTATCTGGTGTCTGTTTTTTTATTTTGTAAAAATAGAAAATTGCACAGTAAAAATAATCAAAGAAATAACAAGTAGGGTCGGTACAAGAAAGCATCCCTGCCCTGATATAAGAACTTTCCAGCTTATGGTCCTGAGGGGACGGTTTTGGTTTTTAAAATGTTTTGTGAAAGAATAATTAATAAATGTGTAGTAATGTGAAGAGCAGCAGTTGTAATAATTTATGTGAGTGCAGCAAATTAATGCACAGATAAATTCAGGTACAAGTGTTTTAATTATAAGGAAATGCAGATAATGCAAATTGTGCAGCTTTATTTGTAGTTGCAGTTCCTATTTGTGTCCGCTTTTTTTGTAAGTGTGAATTAGAAGCAGCTCCACAGAGCGTCAGTCCTTCTGTTTACTAATAATTACTAATAATTTTATTGTTAATATAATTCAGCATTAGATTAATTAATGCTGAAGGACTTCAGCCTAGTCCTTCGGCGACTAGGCTAAAGGATTTTAGTGTGCAATTCCAGCTTGTGACCACAAGAGGGAAATAGAGAGACAGATAGTTTGTAGGGGGGAAAAAACGCAGAGCAGGGCGATTTCTGCCATCTGGTGGACATAGATGGTAACTACAGCTGTATTTAAGCAGTCATAAATATAAAAAATATATATAAAGTATGAAAAATAATCTTCCATGCCATAGCCATATGAATTTTACAATTAATTTAAAGAAGACATGCAGTTACATTATTTCACCACCACTGGAGAACAATAAAGATTTTGAAACAGTTAAATTATATTTTCACTACATATTTTCTAATAAATAACTACAGCTAAACAAACGGTATTAAATCCTCTACTCCAAATCTAAAATGTTCACACTTATGTTGAACATTAGAGGAAATTAAATAAGTCATACAATTATAAACAGCAATATGTTTTCTTATAACTAAATTCATAACTTTCACATTACAAAAGTAAAAGAGAAAGGAGATTCAGGGTACAGAAACACAAAAAAACCTAATTATTAAGGATACACTTCAGCCTGTGGAGATCACGGAAATAAAAAAAAAGAATCTAACAAAAATATATATAATTAATAAAACATCTTTTTGAAATGTTATATTACAAAACGACATTTTATTTTAAATGTCGTTTGCCCCTGAGCTTTCTCCGTCTACTGCCATCCAGTGGTAGCAGCCCGCAACTACATTCTAAAATCTTTAGATTAGATTATTAATAAATTTATAACCGCCTATTTGTAAGATGAAGGACATATGCTACTGTTCAGCATCAGTGTGGGTGCTATGATCTGCGCCTGCCAATAATCAGAGTTTGTGTGTAAAACTGTAAGCACAAGTGAAAATCAGCAGACAAAATGGCATAAAGTCAAGAGTTTTTAATGATGGAAAAATGAAAAAAATAAAAAATTACAGAACTCTATAAAAATAAAAGAACATGGAACCGGTGGAAGAGAAAGAGAAAGTGTAACCGAAGATTCCAGCAATGAGCAATGAGAACCAGTGAGCTTTTATTCTGTAGCAGGAGTGGAAAATAACAGATAAACCAGACGAACTAATCAAAGTTGATGTTGAACAGCTGAGCCAAGCAGCTGTTCAACATCAGCTGGGAGGGAGGGAGTCCAGGAACAGGAACTAAAACTGAGATAAACTACAAATGAAGTGGAAAAGTTCAACAGTTCAACAGAGAACTACATCCAACTGCACAAATAACAGAACACAACAAGAAACGAAACACAAAGGAATTAGCTTACATGGCAATAACATTCCAACATTAATGAATACAAGGACATTTACTGAGTATGGCAAGACATATTCAACATAAATACATCACAAGGAAATGACCATAAACACAAATTAAACTACAGCCAAGGGCTGTGAAGGCAAATTTATCCGTTCAAGTGAAAATATTTGCATAGTCAGAATTAATTTGACAGCTGTGCATTATGCTTGTTGAATAAAGTGAATTTTCCTTCTGAGTGTAGGAGCTGTACGGCTCAATTTCAATCGAGTCCTGCAGAACAAAACGTCGTAGAACAAGCTTAAAAATCTACATGTGTAAATAAAATAAAATGCATCCATTTATTTTTATGTAAATTACCTCCAGATTATGTCTGCACAATTCTGGTTGCTCTCTGTTGGGAAATACAACAGTTATAAATAAAAAGATTATTATTACAGTGACTTATGTAAGACAGGAAATGAAAGTAGAGCTCAGGCTCTCAGCGCTATGAAAACTAAAGTGAAGACAGAAGCGGCAGCAGAGAGACGGCGGTCAGATTTATTCTTAACTACAGACAACGGAACAATTCTTTATTGAAAAACAATACTGCTGATGCTGTGAACTTGAGTCTGAGTAAAAAACAAAATTATGAATATTGAATTAGTTTCTCACTGATTTTGATGTCTTCTGTGAATAAATCCCAGAATAACTGAAACAATGAAAATTAGGAGAACTGCAGCAGTCAAAGCAGAAGGAAGAGTCACTGTAGACAGGTTCCTAACTTCATCTGGTGAATTATTAGGAAATGAGTCTATTGGAAATAAAACAAACATTGTTAGAGAATATATAGTTACTACAAGTTTGACACAAGCAACATAGAAGTGACTCACCTTTAACTGTAATGATGAGATGGAGAAAATATGGTCCATTAAGATTAAAACACTGACAGGAGTAGTTCCCACTATCAGCTGCTGTTAAACTGGTCAGGTGCAGAAACACAGTTTGATTCCTGGTTTTCAGTGAGAACCTGGAGTCACACTCATGAACAAAGTCACCTCCATCCCTATACAGCAGACTGCACTGCTCTCCACTGTTCCTCTCTGTTCTGATCCAACACACAATCATCATGATGATATTTGATGTTTCATTGGTGCAGATTGGAGTAAAATCAGATTCTTTTCCGATTGTTTTAACAAGAGTCACTGCAAACAGGTAAAAACAATGAATGAGAGATAGTCTGATTGCTGTAAGAATGGAATCTTTTAAAAATTAAAACAGATGTAATACATTTCAAAGAATGTTCAATGTCAACGTTACCTTCAGAGTCCAGACAAC